ATCTCTGAATTACTAATAAAGATACGAGCAAGGCCTCACCTTAAAACCAAAAAAAAAAAAAAAAAAAAAAAAAATATATATATAACTGATTCTGTTCCAAACATGCAACTTATTCTGGTCCAAACATGCAACTAATTTTGGTTCAAATGTACAACTGATTCTGGTCCAAACATGCAACTGATTCTGGTTCAAACATGCAACTGATTCTGGTTCAAACGTGCAACTGATTCTGGTCCAAACATGCAACTGATTCTGGTCTAAATGTGCAACTGCTTCTGGTTCATATGTGCAACTTGTTCTGGTCCAAACATGCAACTAATTCTGGTTCAAATGTGCAACTGATTCTGGTCTAAACATGCAACTGATTCTGGTCCAAATGTGCAACTGATTCTGGTCCAAACGTGCAACTGATTCTGGTCCAAACGTGCAACTGATTCTGGTCCAAATGTGCAACTGATTCTGGTTTAAATGTGCAACTGATTCTGGTCCAAACGTGCAACTGATTCTGGTCCAAACGTGCAACTGATTCTGGTCCAAACATGCAACTGATTCTGGTTCAAACATGCAAATGATTCTGGGCCACAGTTGCAACTGATTCTGGGCCACAGTTGCAACTGATTCTGGGCTACAGTTGCAACTGATTCTGGGCTACAGTTGCAACTGATTCTGGGCCACAGTTGCAACTGATTCTGAGCCACAGTTGCAACTGATTCTGGGCCACAGTTGCAACTGATTCTGGGCCACAGTTGCAACTGATTCTGGGCCACAGTTGCAACTGATTCTGAGCCACAGTTGCAAATGATTCTGGGCCACAGTTGCAAATAATTCTGGGCCACAGTTGCAAATGATTCTGGGCCACAGTTGCAACTAATTCTGGGCCACACTTGCAACTGATTCTGGGCCATAATTGCAACTGATTCTGGGCCACACTTGCAACTGATTCTGGGCCATGCTTGCAACTGATTCTGGGCCACACTTGCAACTGATTCTGGGCCACACTTGCAACTGATTCTGGGCCACACTTGCAACTGATTCTGGGCCACAGTGGCAACTGATTCTGGGCTACACTTGCAACTGATTCTGAGCCACACTT